TCTGAAATGCCACAGTATTATATTCCTCTCTATGGATAGCACAAACATAACATGTTGTACATGTGCCTATCATAGTCCTCTGTAATTGATAAACTTAAACCCACAGGGAGCAGAGGCTGAATCGCAACTCCAAAGGACCCAGACAGACTTTTAAGATGTGCTGAGAACGTTTTTTCAATGAGAGGTAAACAAGGAAAAGTTTTCTCTCCTTTCAATTTTAGAAGTCACATCATTCTGTCATAGGGCAATATGTGCTCTTCACCTTTAAGATAATCATCAATCCAGATCCGCTTCCAAACTGATTTAACTCAAAGCTTACCTTTCCTCTGAAGCACCTAAGTATTAATAAATTCTAATAATTTCACTCAATAATACTCATCTGTCCTTCTCAGACATTCCTGGAAATCAAGATCAGGGTGAATTTGTGGAGATCCACTGCACTACATGAATGCGTTAAGTACCCCTTCAAACTCCTTTGCATCCCACAAATACTCCTCCCTCAATATCTAAGATTTTCATTGATTTACTCAACAAACATTTGACATCTACTATGTGCCACAAAGTCAGACACCAGGGGAGGCAAAAAGAGTAAGACAAAGTCCCTGCCTTCAAGGAACCTTCAACCAGGTCTGGAGTGCTGGTGGGTACACATGCAATAGTGTTAATGGGTGCTTTAGTGATTCCGGATCTGAGAGAAAGCACAAGAAGGGAGTGGTCAAAGGGAGAAGCCAGCAACAGAGATTAAACAGAGAAGAGGAGACACATCCCAACAATGAACATCACAGTCAAAGGTAAAGAGATGTGCAACGTGCTCCATCAAAGCCTTGCTGGTTCACAGACCAGCAGCACCTTTATCATCTGAGGGCTTGTTAAAAATGCAGAATCTCAGTCCCCTACCTATACCTACAAAGTCAGAATCCACATTTTCAGAGGATCCCCAGGGAATTCTTATGCTCATTACGGTTTCAGAAGCTCTGCTGTGGAGGACTCTGAAGTAGTTTGAGATGGCTAGCACAGAGGACACCATGGGAATGAACTCACAAGAAGTGAGGCTCCAGAGGCATCTCCAGATCATGAAGCACCTTATCCTGGAACAAATGGAGCCACCACAGTGTCTAATTCTTAAGTAGGAAAATGACAAGATCAAATTACCAGGGTAACTACAGAATAAAGTAGGGGTTGGAAGAAGAGGGAAATCATTCCAGATGAAGTAGCTCTAACAGAACTTAATCATTTGTGCAATCAATACATAGGAGAGAGGATGGGAACAGGGAAGTGTCAAAGAAATATGAATGAAAAATCTCTATAAAGCTGACAGAAATAGCAACATTCACTAAAACAGGGGACGCACGAGGAACAGACTTGGGAGGAAAGATGAATCCAGTTTGATATTTTCTTTTTTTTTTTTATTTTTAAAATTGAAGTATAGGGCTTCCTGGTGGCGCAGTGGTTGAGAGTCCACCTGCCAATGCAGGGGACACGGGTTCGCGCCCCGGTCCGGGAAGATCCCACATGCCGCGGAGTGGCTGGGCCCGTGAGCCATGGCCACTGGGCCTGCGCGTCCGGAGCCTGTGCTCCGCAACGGGAGAGGCCACAACAGTGAGAAGCCCGCGTACCACAAAAAAAAAAAAAAAAAAAAAAAATTGAAGTATAGTTGACTTACAATGTTGTGTTAGTTTCTGGTGTACAGCAAAGTGATGAATCCAGTTTGAGATGTATGGGTTTGAAGTACCTATAGGTCAACAAGTGGAGGTGCCTAGTAGCAGGCAGGCACCTCCAGGAGGGAAAGTATTGCCATCATCAGATAGGCAGGTATCAGCTGATGCCCTAAAAATGGAAGAGGTCACCCAAAGGGAATGAAAAAAAATGAGAAAACAAAAGGACTAAGGACAACCACCGCCACCCCCCAAAGATATCAGCATTTAAGAGATGAACAGAGGAAAAAGGATGCAACAAAATGAGAAAAATTCTAAAGAGAATAAAATCAAGAAAGAGTGGTGTCATCTTCAATGCCAATAAAAGGGTTTCATTAAGGGGGAAATGGGAGACAGTAATGTCAGAGGTCAAGGCCTAAAGAGTGGATCTGGGGGCTTCCCTGGTGGCGCGGTGATTAAGAATCTGCCTGCCAATGCAGGGGGCACGGGTTGGAGCCCTGGTCCGGGAAGATCCCACATGCCGCGGAGCAACTAAGTCCATGTGCCACAACTACTGAGCCTGCCCTCTAGAGCTCACGAGCCACAGCTACTGAGTCCGCGTGCCACAACTACTGAAGCCCGCGCACCTAGAGCCTGTGCTCCGCAACAAGAGAAGCCACTGCAATGAGAAGCCCGCACACTGTGACGAAGAATAGCCCCCACTCGCCGCAACCAGAGAAAGCCTGCGCACAGCAACAATGACCCAACGCAGCCAAAAATAAAAAAATTTATATAAAAAAAACCAAGAGTGGATCTGGTTATTAAGAAGTCCCTTAAAAAATTAAATGAAATAAACTTACATCTCACACATGCCTAATTTTAAAAGCACCCTCTCTCTCTCTCTGTATATATATATACACACATCTCAATGGCTCTCTGTGGGTGATAGAATTAAGAGTGATTTTTAGTTTATTGCTTTCCCCCCCAATATTTTGCAATTGTTCCTGAAGGCACATAAGTTCTAAAATTTAAAAATACATAATAAAAAGCTAATAAATAAAACAATGATGGCTATTCCCAGTGGTGTGACTGCAGTGGGTCAAAGAGCAAATTCGAAGTGAAGAAATGAAGGAGACAGGAGTACAGACAGGAAGAAGAGACTGGGGAGCATGTGGAGTTAAGTCCAGTTTCAGGAAAGGTTTTGTTTTTCAGGTGGGAAAGATGTGAGCATGCTTACAGGCTGTGGGTAGGAAACTGTATAGAAAATGTTCAGAGTCCAGGAGAACAAGAAAACAAACACTTCTTTACTGCCTGCTATGAGCTGAGCACACAATGGTGAACAAGACTAAGTTCTAAGGAAACAAGCAGCGGGCAGATAAATAATATCAGACAAGTGAGACATGCTGTGATACAACTAAAATAGGGTTTGCACTGAGTGTTGAGGTTAGGCCTCTCTGAAGAGATAGCATTTAAGTTGAGTCCTGAATGACAAGAAATGAGCTTTAAAAGAAGAGGGAAAGGCCTTGTTACCTCTACTTCACAGACAACGAACTGAGGATCAAAAAGGCTAGGTAAGGTTATGCAGCAAGTAAATGGTACCCAGGTCTGATGAGCAGACCAACACCCTCTCTACTAGATTGTGTTCCCCCTACTGTTTTCCTCAAATGCAACAGCGAAGATGAACTGTAACATCGACCCTCCCCTGGCCTCACAGGGATGTTAAGGACTAGAAAAATATAAATCATTGGCACAACTTTCTCAAAAGAACCTCTCTGAAAGCCAAGAAGTGTAGATCTGTGAAAGCAGAGGCACAACTTCTAAAGGTTAACTGTTCAGGCCTAATGAGAAAATTCAGGTAGGCTCCAAGTCATAAGCAGACTACATTCCAAAAATGTATAACTAAGTTGCTAAGAAGTCATAAAACATTTCCTCCATGTAATTCTACACATAAAGTAGGTTTCCAAGCAGGACCACAAAAAATCCACGCAATCACAGCTATTACTGTTACTATTATAGTAACTAATACAGCATTTACGAGGAACCAGGCCCTATGTTAAGAGCTTTATATAGATAACCTCATGCAATGTCACCAACACTATTACTACTCCCATCTTATAACTAAAGAAACTGAGGCCTGTCAACGTTACGTAACTTGTCCAGTGGCATAATGCAAATAGAGAAGCCCACAGTCCAGCCCTGGTCTATTCCAGATCCTCAGCTCTTAGTCCTTATGCTGTCTCCCAAAGTACCTCTATTTATAAACACTCGTCTTTCAAAATCAGTTTTTCTTCAACTCTAAAACCTCAGTGCCCATCTACCCTTCTCAGGCGATCAGAATACTACTCAAACGTAAAACAGATAGCTAGTGGGAAGCAGCCGCATAGCACAGGGAGATCAGCTCGGTGCTTTGTGCCCACCTAGAGGGGTGGGATAGGGAGGGTGGGAGGGAGACGCAAGAGGGAAGAGATATGGGAACGTGTGTGTGTGTATGGCTGATTCACTCTGTTACAAAGCAGAAACTGACACACCATTGTAGAGCAATTATACTCCAATAAAGATGTAAAAAAAAAAAAAAATACTACTCAAATTAACACCTTCATCAAGCTTCCTTATCCTCTCCTTGGCAAAGTCTATACCAAACTTACCCCGATAAACCTCAATCCATGAGAGCATTTATTCACACATTTGACACCCACTGAGAACTTAATTTGCCTTTGCACCCCCAGTTCCTACAGAGTGCCTAGAATGTGTCCACTTACACATTCACTGACATTTACAGAGTCTACTGTCCCGACTCCCAACCCACTGCACATCTTCGTAAATACTGAGGTAAACTCCACTGAAGAAAACGGAGGCAAAAGCCCACACTGATGATAATTAAACTTCCACCTCTAAATTACCCTTTGCTCACCCAAAATTCCCAACCTATCCTCCCTCCAAAAAGAAAGCTCTCGAAACTTAAATCGTACATGGTTACTAAGCACCAATAACGCTTGCACGTGGGACAACACCCGAGCCGGTCAATCATAGAAGAGTAACACTTGACCCCCTGCAGCAGCCTTCAAAGCCCCTCTCAGCTTCTTAGGACGTCGATAACCCGAGGGCAGGGTGACCGAGTCCGAGGCGGCGATGGCAGGATCCATGACGGAAGCAAGCCACGTCCGTGGCCGTAACCTTCGAAGGCGACCAACCCTGTTACCCTAAACCCCCCGGTGAGGAGCGTGATACGAGGCCCGGGGACGCCTGGCCCTGGAGCAGCAAGGAGGGTGTGGAAAGAGCACAAGTGGGACCCGGCCCTCGCCCACGTCCACGACCCCGAGGAACTGCCGCGCTGCAGGCGGGCTGAGAAAGCGACCGGGCACTCACCCGGCGACGCGCCCGGCGCGAGCGGCGTGAGGACAGAAGGCGGCGTGCGGCCGCCTCGGGCCGCCCGCTAGAAGGCGCAGGGAGAGCGGGAGGTGCGGAGCCGCCCCAGCGCGGAGGAGCCAGCGGGCCGGTCTCAGCAAGGCCGCCATGGCTCCGCCGTCCCCACCGTAGGCTGCACGCTGGGCAAGGATGGGGGAGCACGTGACCGCGGGGTCGTCCGGCGCGGGAGAGACCAAAGGCCGGGCGCGCCAGACGTAGGGGGAGGCACGTGTTGTTATAACTTGGAAGATTGAAAAACCTGTTTCTCCCAGGACATATGATCCCCACGAGATATGTGTATTACAAGGTAGCTTGATATATCATTCCAGGGAGCGTCTCTTTCCGTTCTCTTTCCTTCACGTCAGCATGTTCAGTCTCTCCACCCCTTCACTTTTCAGTTGGTAGAGTCGGAAGAGGTCGACTCCTCCCAGGTTCGCGCAAGGGCTTGCGGGGGGCCAACTAGCGAGAACACCCGGGAACTCTCGAGAAGAGCCGACTGTGAAGAACCCGGAGTGTGGGACTTTTCTATGCAGAGTGCGGGAGTTGTAGCCAACGTTACGCGGTTCCCGCTCCAAGCCGAAGATGCCGCGCCTACTGAGAGGAACGTACTATAGTCAGAAGTGTGGGACAGGAAGAACGTTAAGGACCTTTGCACTGTGCTAGGGGCCTCCAAGGTTAAATGTGATGTGATTTGTGTGCTTGGGGCCAGGGGACAGTGTAAAGGTATACGGAGGTACAACGTTTAAGTCCATGAGCAGTGCCTTGCTTTACGAAATGGATGGATTATAACGAAGGTCGTATAGTTTTAAAGCTGGCGGTGAACGCATTATATTCCCCAACTCCCACCCCACCCATTCCTTCAGTAAATGCACCAGCAAGATAACAGTATAATTAAGAGTCCTGAAAAAAAAAGTCCTGAGCCAAATCTGGGGATAAAATAGGAGGCCCCCAGCCTTACGACCTGGAAGGGTACCCTGTGCATGTAAATCAACTTAAAAGATTTTTTGCATATTATATATGTAAATTTGGGTTACAAGTTCCTAAGTTACCCAAAGGTTTCGATTCATAAACATAACTTTTAAAACAGTACTGTAATATGCCATCTCAGTTTGTAAAAACACTAATTGACAGTCAAGTTATGTATGTATTTTCAAACACAATTCAGAGCAGCTTTCTCAGCAAAGTTTTGCCGGTTCAGTATCTGTTGGGGCAATCGGAGTTACGTGGGAAGCCGAAAACAGGCTTCAAAAGTACAGACAACTCTCCAGCGCCCTCTTCACCTAGCTGTATTCTAAGCATTCCCAGGTGAAAGCTCAGAAGTTTTTTCCGGAAGCCCGACAAGGAGCTCCTTGAAAGCAGGAACCGTGCGACCTTTTCCTGTAGCGGAAGCACCTACCCAGTGCCAAGCACACGGTAGGTTGCATTAAATAATTACTGAGTAAATGTGTTTGGAGGTTATCCAGCTCATTTCTCCTTTGAGAGATGAGAAAAATGAGATCCAAAAAAAGGTTAAATGATTTACTCTGGGTAATACTACTAGGCACTAGGATATAATTTATTCACTCATTCAACACTGATTTATTGAACACATAAAAATAGTGTTCTCAAATAGTGCCAGGCACTATTTGAGATGCGGATACAGCAGAGAACAAAAGAGACCAAGTCTGGATTTTGATTCGATTGGCTCCAAAGTTTAGTTTGGGAAGACAGATAAGAACTGTGATGTAAAATAAATAAGGGGAAAGGAATTGAGGGTGGTATGCTTAACCCCCTCGGAGAACAATGAGGACGGTGTGGATGAGAAGAAAGAGCAAAGGGGGTGGCGGGGACCGTGGGCGTTGGGCCTCATCATGCAGAGTGTTGTAGTAAGGACTTTGATTTTTATTCAGAATGAGATGGGAAACCACTGGAAAGTTTAGTATGTTGTGATATGAATCCATTTGCATTTTTAAAGGATTACACTGGCTGCTGTTTGAAAAGGTGACTTTAAGGGAATAGGATAAATAAAAGTAGGGAGACCAGTGAGGAGGCTTTTGCAATAATCCAGAGTACAGATGGTAGTGGCTTGGAGAAGGGGGGTGGCAGGTGAGAGAATGAAAAAGGGTCAGATCCTCACTCTACTTAAATAGAACCAAGAGGATTTACTGATGGATTGGCTATGGGATGTAAGTCAAAAATGACTCCAAAATTTTTGACCTGAGCAATTAGAAAGATAGAGATGGCACTGATTAAGAAGGGAAAGACTGAGGGAAAAGCAGATTTAAAAGGTGAAATCAAAAGTAATCTGGAATATTAAACTTGAAGTGCCTGTTAGACATCCAAATGTCAAGTTTGAGTAGGGGGCTGGCTGTATGATATACAAGTCTGGAGTTCAGAGCTAAAGATACACTTGGGAGTTTATAGTCTGTATCTATTATTTGAAGCCATAGAAATGAATGAGAAATGGACGAAAGCACCTAGGAGGAAAATATGGATAGACAAAAGATGAGGTCGAAGGACTGAGATTTATGACACTTCAGTATTTAGAGGATGCGAAGATGAAAATCCAGCACAAGAAACTGAGAAAGAATAGCCAGAGAGGTAGGGGGAGAACCAAGAGAGAGTAGTGAGTTCACAAATAACAGAGAGAAACCTTTCAACCATGGGAATTATCAACCATGTAAAATGCTGCTGTTCTGGTAAAATGAGCACTCAACATTGACCATAGGATTTCTCAACTCAGAGGTCCCTGGTGATGCTTAGAAGAGCCATTTTGGTGACATGCTGAGCTAAATGATTGAGCGAAGCAAGTTTAAGAGTACATGAAGGAAGGGGAAGTGGAGATTTAAATTTAAATAAATTTTAAAATTCAGTTCCTTAGTAATTAACCACATTCAACCACACATAGCTAGTAGCTACTGTATTGGACAGCCCAGAGAACATTTTCATCATAATAGAAAATTCTACTGGACAGTGCTGCAGTAAGGGGTGAAAAATTGATAATGCAGCATAAGACGGAGAAAGAGTACATTGAATATGCAAGACGGGATGGGATCCAGTACAAAAGTGAAGGGATTGACTAGGTAAGAATCCAGACAGTCCAACCAATGTCACGGAAGGAAGGACAAGGCATGTGGTTGCAGAATCAATGAGGCTGGTAGAGGCAGTAGTGAGAATGCATGCATATTCTTTTCTACTTGCTTCTAGCTCTGAAACCCTTAATCCGCAACCAAGATTCTCTCTGTTCTTGTACCAGGCTTCCTCTTGAAGTATGAGGCAATACTGATGAATTTGTCTAGACATTCATTTATTCAATCATGAATGTATTCACTATTAAACCCCTAAATTCTGCCAGGCAGCAAGTTAAGTGTAGAAAAAAATATGATGGGCAAAAGCAGGCATGGTCCTTACTGTTATGGAAGTTACATTCTAAGGGACAAGGCAGATATTAATCAAATAATCACACTAAATGAATTAAACACTGAAACAGGGGTTCTGAAGGAAAGAGACATGTTTCCTTGAGCGAGTATGCCTCACCTGGGAATCAAAAAACGTTTCCAGGGAAGGGATCTTTAAGTTGAGGTCTGAAGGATGACTAGCTGTTAACACATGCAAGGTATGTGCTGTGTGTGTGTAAGAGAGAAAGAGTGGTTTTGCCTGTTTTTCAGTCCAGACGTAACCAAGTTGTCCTCAGATTTCTTTAGTCTCCAGAAGATGTGACAAAGTGGAAGAGGAGCCCAGGTTGAGCATCCTTGGTTTCTCCCTCAAGTTATTCTGAACTATGAAATGCGTTCAACTGTTGGTTAGAAAATTAGGGGTCCCCATCCCAGTAAATAGAATAGCCTCTGAACAGAATTTTAACAGTTTAGAAGCCAGACTTTGCAGAAGTACTTAACTGCTTTTTTTTTTTTTTAATGTGTAAAACTGGTGATATCTACCCTTTCCTCCCAGGATTATTTGGGAATATTAGTGACGTACTTACAGGCGCATAGGAAACTGTGAAAAATAATGTTACTACCATCAATATTGTTGTTGCTTTTCATAATTGAGTCTAAACCTCATGAATTTGGGTTCTTCTCCAGTCTCTCCCTGGGGTCCAGTTTTTGACCCCAACATCTTTACTGCCTAATAATCTATGGCCAGTGTCCCAAATTCCTAACTTAGTTTTCCGGTTGTTAAATGCTTAGTGTAAGCAAAGCACGGGGCAAGTTGCATCTCAGGGCAAAGAAATTATTCATACTACATTTGATGAGCTTAATTTATAGGACAGGATAAAACACATATTGTATATAGATAACCATTACATTAGGCAGTGTGATGAGTAGAATGAAGAAGAGACAAGCCAAATGATAGCCAGGCAGGAGAACAGAAGAAGGTTTCAGAGTGGGAATGATATTTCAGCCCTCATAGGCTGGGGAAGATGTTAAGTAGTAGACATCATGGCGAGAGGACTTCTAGTCAGAGGGAACAGTAAAAGTAAAGATACACAGCTCTCCTTTCTGTATATACATCCCTTCTTAAACTGCAGAAAGTGTTTCTGGACACAGAATTTTGCCCAGAGCCTATGGAGTAAAGGAGAGGATCTCTAAACCAGTGGTGTTCACGCTTCCGTGGCTATGACCAATGGTAAGAAAATACGTTTTATAAGTGACACAAATACATACCAAAAAATTTTATAAAACAGTAATGAGCCTTGCTACATGTGATGCCATTAGATATTTACTTATCTATTTTCTATTTCATTTTTTAAAATGTTGATTGATCCTAATTCAAACAAACCAGCTATAAGAAGACTTTTTTAGACACGAATATAATGCACAATACAAGAATTATTGCTTTTTTAGTGTAGTAATGGGCTCTGTTGCTGTGTAAGAAAATACTTGTATATTTTTAGAGATACATGCTGGCATATGTAGAAGTAAATTAACATGCTGTGTGGAATTTTCTTGAAGAAACCTCCCCAAGGAATAAAAGTTAGAACAAAAGGACATAAGAAGCAAGTGTGAATACCTTGCTATTTTTAAAATCTGGGTGGGTGTATAGGAGTTCATTTTACTATTCTCTCTACTTTATATATGGTTTTAAGTGTTCATAAAGAAAAAGATCTTAAATGCTGGTTGTATTTTGATTTCACTATTCATTAATA